ATCCCTAGTCACTCAAGGTTAAAACATACATGGAATAATAAAGAGTATCTTTGGCATTGGAATATCGCTGCTTTAATCTTGAAGACAGAGGGGCCTACCAAGTAAGAAAAACGGCCACACACTTAACAATCAGTTGCACCTCAGGTTGAAGAACCAGCAGTCGATTACTCCAAAGATCTAGCAGGGAAACGCAAAGAAGACAAATAAGAACATACGCAGACAGCTGGAACCTGTGTAGATACATTGCTTAATGGTTAAAACAACACTTCGTCGAGCTTGCAAAGAATCACTGTTTGATTTCCATGTTGGGAACTATTTCCATCGAGTGGTCAGATAAGTGAACACCGACATAAGGTGCATCCCATCTGGCGGTAGGATGAGTTTATATATATACATATAAACGTCTATGATTCTTGGGGTATTATGATGTATTTAAGTGTATTGTCTCTCTGTTGTTTTTTTTCAACATTCCGTCTGTGGGCAACCTACTGAGCCAAGCACTGCCTTTTTTGTGCAGAGTAGTTCACATAATTCTGGGTAAAAGTAAAGAATACCCCCCCAACCATGTCCTCTCGCATCATCATCTGTTAGTAGCAGGGAATAAAAAAAGGGTTGGGACTAAGTAGATTTTTCAAATTTAATACAGGTTCAACGTTTCGCTCTGTAAAGGGCTTCGTTAGGAACACGATACAAAAAAAAGTAAAATCTTATAGACTACAAGCTATAGCAACAAAAGTGCGCGCATACACGTCAGAATGCCAAAAGGTGGGATAAAAACAAATCGGGAAGATCAGAGAAAATTGAAAGCTATAGCAAGAAGTGGTATGGATATAAAATAGTATGTACGTCAAATCATATATAAACATTAATATTAATGTAAAGGTAATCATCATCATCATCATCATCATCATCATCATCATCATCATCATCATCATCATCATCATCATCATCATCATCATCATCATCATCAGATAGTAAAAAGGTTAAGACTTGGTAGCTTTTCCAAAATATTTAATTTCCAAGTTCGTTTCCCCCCTAACGGGCTTCATCTGGAACATTCTGAATATAATCATCATCATCGTCATCATCATCATCATCATCATCATCAACATCTTGTGCCAAATCTGAAACAGACATTGGTGATCATAGTTTTCCATTTATTTCTTTTCTCAAAACGCTTGAAAAAACCCAAACAAATTTAATATTATTGTGGTCTTTCTTCCTCGCCCAACTTGTTTATGTTCTCCAAGTTAGTTGTTCTGGGTTCAACATTGTCTTGTGTGCCCTCCGTTTTTCCAGTGACGCAAAAAGATGCTCAAAAACTCAATATCGATTTAAGTATCCTAGAAACTGCATGTTTATCTCTTCGTTATAGTTCTGACAACGATCACAACTCGCTATTTCCTGATCCTGCATGACATAATTGCAACCCCACTGTGGTCTCCAAGGTGACCCTCACGGCGACCCCCACGGTGACCCCGAATGTTGGGCACTGGATTGAGCAACTCAAAACGAGGGTCTATACTTAACTTCCACCCATGTAGCTTTATAGGCGGTGTCCACTGGAGGACTGGTTCGGATCGGTTCAGTTCGGTTTCTGGTGGCTTCAGTTCACACTATATTATATAGGCCAGCTGCCCAAACCGGTCTCTCGGCGAGCGGCCTTGAAAACACTCGAGTTTGTTGTTGAAGGTCATCCTCAGTTTTGTCGGTTTTTGTTGTTTGTTGTTGTTGTTGTTTTGTTGTTTTTTTTAACCCTCCTGTGGAACACAATCCAGCTACCCCCAAACCGACAAAAACCGACAAAACCGACTAAACCGAACCGATGATGCCAGTGGGCACTGCCGATTAATCCTTCTCTGCTGGTCTCTCCCCCCCCCCCCCAGTGCCTGGCCATCAACAGCCCCTGTATCCCCGGGAATCAAGTACCTGGCCAGACCTGCTGCTCGTCCCAAGGACACGAATGTGTGCCAAACCCTATACTGCCAGGTCAGTTCGCGTGTCAGCTGACTGGTGGACAGGCTATAGGGGTGAGTATAACTTTCGTTGTATGTATGTTATGCGTATTTACGAGGGGCATACGAAAAGTTTTTTGTCTGACCATGAAGGAATAAAGGTAGAAAGCTGAAATTTGGTACTAAACTTAGTTTTTCTTTATCTAGTCCTCTCCCAGAGTTATACATGTTCGCCATCTGTGTATGACCTTGAAAAGACCTAGAGAATAGAGGACCCTCTCTATATCAGAAAACCAGCCCTCTACCGCTTCTTTGACCTTATAATCACTTTTTTTGCTCAAAAATTTATTCACAGCATAGGATGGGCAATCAGCTCCATATACGGCATGCATCTCCGTAAAAATATCCTGTAGTTGCTTGCCTTGCAAGAACAAATACTTCATTACTGCCCTGCGCACAATTTTCTCCATTCTTATGTTGAAACTGTGAACAACATACCCCCATTCACTTACAGTGCGCTGGTGGTAAAACCAGTAATTTGAAATTCCCCAAAATTTACAAGCATTCAAGGAGGATGATTGTTGGCTTTCACATCAAATTTCAACTTTCTACCTTTATTCCTATATGGTCAAGTATAAAACTCTTGGTATGCACCTCGTATGCGTTTAGTGTGCGTATGTGGAGCAAATAATGTATGTATTGTGTGTTTGGATATGCTATGTGTATTTAAGTATTTTGCATGTTTTTGTGTTGATCTTTTTTATGTGTTGTGCATATTTATATGTTAAGCTTAGTTGTATGTTGATACTTTTAAGCTGTATGAATTTGTTTTATTTATGTCAAGTACGTATGAATGTGTTGTGCGAATTTCAGTAATTTGTGTGAATTTGAGTGTTGTGTGTATTTATATGTTGTGTATTTATTGTGCATTTATGTGAAGCGCATATGAATGTGGTCAGTGTGTTAAATGGCGCTACAAACAGCATATTGTCATATCATACAGATAAGCGTTGCCATCATTCCTATCTGTTACTTGAGAAATATAAACATTAGGCTGTTCCACCGACGTGCCTAAAATTGGTCCACTATCCACTAACGGAAAATAAGGTTTTGGAGTCTTTTGTTAGTTTAGTATGGGGTTTTACGGCGCACGCAACTGCATATGGTCATATGAGCGCGCTTGGGGTTTTTGTTTTTGTTTTTCTTCAATGAAACCTTAATCTTGCTTGTTTGTTTGTTTTTCTGCAGTGCATCGGTGTGAACCTTCCGTGCCTCCCTAACGCTGTCCAACAGGAAAATCGCTGCTGTCAAAGTAAAGGCCTCACTTGTCAGACAAGCAAGCTCGTACCTGGCCAATTCTCTTGTCAACAAGGACCCGGGGAGGTGTGTGTGTGTGTGTGTGTGTGTGTGTGTGTGTGTGTGTGTGTGTGTGTGTGTGTGTGTGTGTGTGTGTGTGTGTGTTTTTCTTAACTTTAGTTACATGTGCATCGCTGTCAATATCATTCATCCCCTTTCCTTCTCCGTGTGAGGAGGAGCAGCAGCAACATCAACAATAGCAAACAAAAAGTGCAGCAGCAGGAGCAGCAACAGCAGCAGCAACAGCTGTAGTAGTAGTAGTAGTAGTAGTAGTAGTAGTAGTAGTAGTAGTAGTAGTAGTAGTAGTAGTAGTAGTAGTCGTCGTCGTCTTCGTCGTTGTTGTTGTTAAGTGTATTTCATGCTGCCGATTATCCATCGTCCTGTGTGTTTAGTTAATTCACTCGTAGTAAGGAAACGGTGAAGCTAATTTGCCAGCCACTTTCTTCGTGAATTCAACCTACGCCCCATTCTTAAAATACAGACTTCAACAAAAGTTAGGGACCACTTGCAAACACTCTGAGTGGTCTTCTTGGGTCGACCTGCACGTGGGCGTTTTTGGACTGATCCAGTGGAGTGATGGTGCTGCCTCAGGCGGACAATGACAGATTGTGACACTGCGATATTAAAAAAAACTAGGACTGTCCGTCAAGGTGGTCCTTAACTTTTGTTGAAGTCTGTGTGTTAAAATCGCTTTTTTCCCCATGATGCCACAGAGATCCAACTATAGCCCAATGGAGAGTGGAGGCTCTGGGCTTACACAAAATGTCAAGTGGGTTCCCCAAAAAGGCTTAAAGTTTACCTTTACTGCTGCCAGGACCCAGACACGAGGATTTTGTTCTGCACTAAACAAACACCCATTAAACTCACATGCACTTCTGTTTCACTTTTAGCTTAGCCCCTATGTACTACTATCACTTATCCTACACTGTCAGTTTGGCAGAATCTTCATAATGACTGTGGCGATTTAAACAAAGTTCTTCCGAGTCGGTGCTATTTCAACCAGACGCTTTTCGATGTTCTCAAATCCATCACTTTTTTCCCTAGTCGGTTGGGTTGGACCAGAGAGAAGTAACGGTTAACAACAACAACAACAACAACAACAACAACAACAACAACAACAACAACAATAACAACAACAACAACAGCAACAATAACAACAACAACAACAACAACAAGAGAAACACAGCAGCAACAAGAACAACAACAAGAACAACAACAAGAACAACAGCAATAATCTTTAAAGCACCTGAATCCTTATTTGTTTTCAGTAAGGTGGCAGTCAGGTTCGATAGTACATTCTTTTCACAAAGTACCTTGAAAACAAAAATAAAGCAATGGAATTTGCTCATGGGGAAAATATCACCGACAGTTTCCGTCCGACAAGACGTGTGTCCCGTAACCCAAGCCGAGCCTGTGGATCCGACCATAGACTTGTATTATTATATCAAAGGTCGCACGTTCTGACGTCACTTGAGTTCACTGTGGAGCTCACTATTTCACTCAATTTGGACTCAAATATAGGGTAAGGGGTGTGGGGGG